ACATTACTTATTCTTAACATTAAGATGAGGTTCTATCAATAGTCTATGGATACTTCGCCTGAAGTTGCCGCCCAAGCTGTGGCACTTATCCGGGCCGGACACAGCCAAAGAAATGTGAGTGATCAACTTAATTTATGTCGATCTGCGGTCCGAAACGTTTATCGGAGATACCTAGAGACTGGCGGTTTTGTTCGTCGCCAAGGAAGGCCACTATTTCGGGTCACAACTGAAAGGCAGGATCGATTCATCGTGACGACCAGCTTGAGAAATCGTCACCTTACCTCCATCGAGATACAAAACCAACTTCGCGACTTCCATGGAGTAAATGTGAGCGCTCGAACTGTTCGGAGAAGATTAAAAGAACGCGATATGGTACCACACAAGCCAGCTAATGGCCCAAAACTAACGCGAGCCCACCTAATAGCGCGCATTCATTTCGCGCGCTCACACTTAAATTGGACTCAGCAGCATTGGAACGGTGTACTCTTTTCTGATGAGTCTAAAATTGCGTTACATGGCAATGATGGAAGGAAGAAGGTCTACCGACGTAAGGGAGAGCGTTTTGCACAATGCTGCTTTGAAGAGAGGGTTGCTTATGGCGGTGGCTCATGGACTGTCTGGGGCGGTATATCCGCGAGCGGCAAAACTCAACTTGAGGTTGTTACGGGACCACGGCTGCCAACATTAAATGCTGAAAGGTACATTCTTGAGTGCTTAGAACCTCACGTGATGCCATACGCGGACTATGTGGGCCCAAATTTCCTTTTTATGCATGATAATGCAAGAGCCCATACGGCCGGCATCGTCAGAGAATATCTTCGGGATGTGAACATCGCAGTTATGCACTGGCCAGCCAGAAGCCCAGATATGAACCCCATTGAGCACATGTGGGATGAGCTAAAAAGACGTGTTAGGGCTCGTCAGCCAGTTGCCCAGACGATGTAGGAATTGAAAACTGCCATAGAAGAGGAATGGGAGATGATCCCTCAAAATTTCATAGAGCGGTTGATAAACTCTATGCCTAATCGTATGAGAGCTGTCGTAGATGCCCATGGAGGCAACACGCGTCATTAAATTAAACCTTTATTTGATAAAACACGTTTTTTATTCAAAAATCAATGACTTCATCAAGGCGCATACCCGACTTATTAGGCGTATCTCCATGTGGTGTGGTATTCTAAATTCAAATTTAAAACAATACGATCGAAAAAGATGGTAAAATGTATCAGGTTCAAAACTGCATAAAACTTTTTACTCGACCTAATATAAATTTTTAGGTAGGACCAAAAGAAACTGAAAATGCAAGGTGGGCCAATAGATGTGTCCAGAAGTATATAAAAATGTAACCCGTTTTCCGTTGTCACGACATAACATGAAAACGGCTTGACCGATTTGCCCAATTCTTTTTTTATAATATTCTTTGAAGTATTCGAGGATGGTTCTTACGGAGAGAAAGATTTAAAAAATTGAGTGAAAGAGTCTAAAAACAACACTTTTCTATATTACCTATATATACATAATAATACTTAAAAGTCAATTTGAACTTTAATACCATATTATAAAGTTCAAGTGTTAGTGGAGGGGTTCCGGGAAGGTAAATTTTTATTTTTTGACTTAATGTATTTGTTGTCTTATCAACTTTCTTTTTTTTATCTTAGCCAGACCGGTGTCCCGAATAGCAGAATAAGTATTTTTTAAAAATAAAGAATCGACTGTTAGGCGGTACGATGTTCGCCAGGCCAGCTAGTACTATATATATACTTACGAAATATTACAAATATCTCACACTAGCTGACCCGGCTAACTTCGTTCCGCCTTACAGTCAAATAATATCGTTGTTACTTTAGTTAAACTTATTTTAGGATTTCATTAAGGTAATAACATTAATACAACTTTTTTTGCAAATACAGAAATGTTGCTTGCCATTGCGAAAGAAGAATGGCAGTTTTACACATAGGCCTCTTATCTCTAGCACTAATATTGCAATACTGCATATTAAAGCACTTTCTGATATACAACACATATCTTCGATCAAGATCAAAGCCTGGTTATGCATAATATCCTCATTCACCTCAAGATCTGAATTTCTTGAACTGACACGAGTTCGACGTAAAATGATGTGTAGTTTTGTCAACAGATGGCAGCACATGCTGTTTGCATTCGTAAAATTAATTTACTTATTTATTGTTATTCGCTAACTTATCCGATATTTTATTACTTATTCCGCTAGTGGAGAAGAATCCACCAAAAAAGAGATAACTAACATCGGTCCAGCCGATCCTGAGTTATAAGTGGTGTAACACGACTTTGTTTTATATATTTAGATATTTTACATTAAAAATGTTAGAAACGGCTTAACCAGTTTCAGGCTATTTAAGAATACTGTCGAACAAGTCAATGATCAATCAAAACGCTTAATGCCATAGACAAAACTATTACTCAGATCAAACTTCCAACACTTCCGTGCCAGCCGTTGCACATTACATAAAAATAGGTTATAATTGAAATTAAAACAGTGTCGATCAAGGCGTTCCCGCGGGATAAGGATAGTCCCCCGTTCATTACCCTACATGAAGCGACGTCTTGAGATAGCGGAGCAATCTAATCTCGCACAGATTAAACCTATGTAAATTGAAATAAAGTGAAACACGCCTTGAAACTAAGTTGGGTAATTTTTAGCGAAGTGTATTGTATTTTTAATCGAAATGTTTATCGTTGGTTGACTCGTGTTTATTTTTCAGTTAATACTTTGGATAATCTTTACAGATTTAACTATGCGAATTAACCTAGTTTGCTACTTCTAACGGATGTTAAACTCAAAAATTACTGATGGCACCTGTGACTATAGAAAAATAATTTGATTAAAATATGGTAATGAAGAAGTACTTTTAGTAACATAGTAGCATATTTTAAATCAACTTGTGTAGTGATGAGTCACTATAGTGAGAGTGAAGGCTGATAACTCCATTGTAGTAGTACTGCAGTGGCAAGCAGATCAGCATACAAGAGCAGATCGTACTATGGAACTGGTCCCCACTGTGTACTTAGCTTAATATAATAAAAAAAAAGTGCGGTAAAGCATTTTTTATCAACTTATGCAGTTATAATTATTTATTTATTTTTTATTTTTGCAGTATTTGTTCCCACCCTAACGCGTAAGGTTTTTCGTTACGGAATTTCTTGATTCGGTCGCCGCGCTCAAAGCCCGCGATAAAATCTATGCAATAGCTTAATAAAGATTGATTTTATTTATTCAAAAAAACCAACACGAACCTTATTATCATAGTCATCGTGGTCCAAAATTACATTGTACGATAATAGACGAAAGCTACTCCACGGACTTCGGTGATGTGATTATGTAAGGTTTACCCAAATAATATAAATATCTGTGTATTATACACGTATCTAAGAAGCAGAAGCTGGAGTGGGCAGAGTCCAGAGACTCACATAGGTATATATGTCACCGTAAAATTGTAAACACCGTTAGATTGTAATCTATCTCGCGAGATTGTAAACTGTCGAAAGATTGTCAACTCAACGTACTGCTTACAATTTAACGTATTATTATTCGGTAGATTGTAATATCGCGAGATAGATTACAATCTAACGGTGTTTACAATTTTACGGTGACATATACGTCCTTGGGCAGTACGATACACAAAAAAGGCTCTAAAAATGCATTATTCTTAAAGAAATGTTCCAGCTAAATTATCTGATATTAGTCCTTAACAAAAACGGATTTAAGGCAACACCTGGGGTTCACATTTAAGTATTTTCACAAAGATTTTTTGCTCGTTATATATATGTTATGGCCTGTAAGTATTCGTACAATATTTACGATCCTACGGATTTTTGTGCGTATTTGTTGAGCAGTTTTTTCGTGTATTACACCTGTGTAATTTGATATCTGCTGCTTTTTTATCATATAAAAATTTAATTAATTCATGTATGTATTAGTCAAAGAATGTTTATAAAAATGTTTAGTACTCGCGTACAATTAAGAGTTTGATTACTTTATTCAAAGTAACATAATATAGTGATTAGTTTTTCTCTACTAAATTGTCTCATAACTCATTTTAATAGACGAACGATCGCGCCTACAAAATTACGGTTAAAATTACTTACTACCTAAATCTAGCATTGTTTAAATTTATGTATCTTAACGAACTTGATTTCGTTTTGGAATTTGTCTGGCCCTGAATTAATTCATAAAAACTAAATTATTTAATACTCTGTTTCAATCATCGTCAACAGAATTTAATAATAATACGTTAGTTAAAATATTATTTAGTATTAATAAATAATTTAATAAGGGCGTTATTATTAACCTAGTTATAAGGGTAAAAACAAAACAAACGCATTTTACCATTTAATATAAAATAACATAACATTATTCACCAGATCCAAATGCATTAAAAAATGTACAGTATTACATCTAAATATATTTCGTACAAAAAGAATTATTTTTGTCTATTGATTAATTTGATGGAAAACACAAACTATTAAGGCTGGATCAACGCTATAATGCCGTTCACAGTTCGTTCTTCTTCTGGTGGAATATTCAACGTATACCATTTGGATTCGCGAACCGCGAGCGAATTGTGAACGGCGCTATAGAGTGGATGCAGTCCGTTTTTCGGTTGTAGTGTGGTAGGTATACAATTAATACATAACAAAAATATCACAATTTAAAATACAGATAAGCGAGAGACATTGCAAATCAATAAAAATATTTTAATATTTAATTAATTACAAATATAAGGTTCGCGCATCCAGTCTTCGGTACCCAGCGAAACCATTGTTTTTGGATGATAGGCAAAACTTATAACCAGCTAAAAAGATGCCAATGAAATAGACGTCGTAAAAGTTATGAATATCACACATGTTGCCGACATAAGTTAATATGAATGACGTGTAGTATTCACATCTGATATTAAATGTCGGTTTCAAAACAATAAAAATACGTTAAAACGTATTAATAATTATTTTAATTTGTAGCCTCACTTGTTTCTAGGATCTATTCTCGTAACTTCCGATTCCATGCTGTCTACTTTCTTGTCACTTTCTGTGTTTTCTTCACTCTCCTTAAACAACAATGTATTAAAATCACAATAAAGTAATCTATCGAGCAGTGTTGGCCTAGTGGATTCAGCGTGCGACTCTCATCCCTGAGGTCGTAGGTTCAATTCCCGGCTGTGCACCAATGGATTTTCTTTCTATGTGCGCATTTAACATTCGCTCGAACGGTGAAGGAAAACATCGTGAAACCGACATGTCTTAGACCCAAAAAGTCGACGGCGTGTGTCAGGCACAGGAGGGAGATCACCTACTTGCCTATCAGATTGAAAAATGATCATGAAACAGATTCAGAAATCTGAGGCCCAGGCCTAAAGAGGTTGTAGCGCCACTGATTTATTTTATTTCTTTAAAGTAATCTATATTATTATAAATTAATTTTGAGAGAAACTGAGGTCGAAGATTCGAACCCGGGCTGTGCACCAATGAATTTTGCATTCTATGTGCGCATTTAACACGTTTGTACGGTACAGAAAAATATTATGAGGTAACAGCATTAGGTCCAAATGTCGACTGCGTGTGTCAGGCACAGAAGACTCAACTACTTGCCTATTAAAAAAAAGATGATTTCGAAACAGATACAGATATCTGAGGCAAAGACCTAGAGGTTGTAATGGAACTGTCTGGTATGTAAAAAATTCTGCTTTATACTTCACAACCACAAAATCAACTACACTCTAGACAACCTGTATGATCTCAACTTTCATTTGGTTTATAACAGAAATCTACATAATTCAATTTTCAAATAACGGTAATCTCTTCCAATTCTATGATAAAATATTTTGTTGCATACAATTTTGTCCTACATAGTCTGTATAATTAAAGACGAATTTATTTTCCAGATAAATAACTGATACAGGTTATCGAATTCTAAAATCACTGTAGTCTATGGTTAAGTATATTGACTACTCTTAACTATATAGTAAAATGATGTTTATGTAAAAAATTTTTTCATAAAATTACTCTTACTGTTCTCTTTTAATTAAAACCATTTTTCGTCTTTGTTAAATTGCTTTTAACTCTGGTAAGTTTGAGGTTCTGTTGGAAGTAATTATTGAACAGATTTATATATATTTGTTACACGAAAAAAAAGGGGGAAAAACACATTATAAGGGGGGGAAAAAGGGGGGGGAATAAAAAACCCCAGGGAGGAGGCGAAAAAAATTTGGGAAAAATTTTGGAAATTTTAAAAGGGGCGGGCTTGTTGCCAGGATCTAAAAGGAAGGTGCCATAATAACTGAAGTCTAATGACTATGAATAAAATTATTGACATTTCTTTTTTTTATTAATTTTTTTTTTCATTTATAAAATGATATTTGAGCAAAATATTATTCTTATTGTTTGTCTTACTATCGTTTCCAGTAAAAAGGTCATCAGTTGAATACATGATTTCGTATAAGGACCTTTGTACCCTAAACTAAACATTTTATAAATCCCTGATGACTTTGACAAATATTTAAACAATACATAAAATGTTTGTGTGAAAAATCATAGATCGGTGCGTCACCACCAAATGTGAAATTTTTCATAGAAATATTTTACGTAGATGTCGGCGTTTAATAGCTACAACAAACTGTTGGTAGAGCATGACAAAACATCTATTAAATTATAAATTGTTAAGTTTGTGAAGTTGTATGGGGTAATTTTGGGATCTAATGAACCGATTTTGAAAATACTTTTATCAATAGATAGCCACGTTATTTTTGATTGACATAGGCTTTTTATTAATCCGAAAAATTACTTGAACGGGGAAACTACTACTACTCAACTACTTGGCCTTATTTGGAAAGTAAGTCGGAGTACAACCAACGAAAACTTTTCTTACGAACGCTGCCTTAACGATGATTCTCATTTAGTTTTAGAATCTAGAGCAAGCTCTATTATATTACCTACAAAAAAGTTAGCGAAAGCATTTGTCTATCTTTTATATCATACAAAAATAAGTCCGCCGCAGCGTCTATTTCTCTATTAACTCGCGATAAACTCAAAAATGACTGCATGTAATTGATCCCGATTTTCACCAATATCTAAAATTATTCATGAGTAATGTGTATAATTTTTCGTGGATTACGGCTCAATGTTGTCCGTGCGAAGGGGGAACAGGCCGCTAGTAATTTATACAGACAGGGTCAAATGGAGACATACACATAACTAAGGACGGTAACATAAGCGCACCGTATGATTAAACAATCATAATAAATTTATGTGAAATAAAATGTTTTTAAACATTTGGAGCACATTCGACTTGGATCTTAGTTGATATAAATTATCAGTATATTCAATTACCACATTTTCAGTCTCCATAGAGCTGTTGTTTATACTCCTTCTACTTCTCTGTTTTAATTTCTCTTCAAACCTTGATATAAAATCAGTTTGATTTGTATAATCTTCGGGTGTTCCAGCTAAATACTCTGAGCTCACTGTGATATCTGAAAAAATACAATTTTTTATATAAATATTATTTATCCACATCAATAATTAAGTATATATAATATGTTATAATGATATATCCTTTACAGTCAACTGAAAATTATATAATAGTGTTTTGAGACTTTTCACAGCTCAGAGTTATAACTAGAATTTGTTTATTGTATAGTTACCTTGGCCAAGAACTTCATTGACCATATATGGGAAGAGCCAGCCTACTAATGGTGTCTGTCCAGCAAAATAATGTGCTTGCCTGTGGTAAAATAACAATCCATCTAATGCTGGGAAATCTAGATCATCACAAGGCGGGAACTTTGAAAACAAACTGTAATAAAAATAGCTTTTTTGTAATGTAGAACAAACAAATATTAAAACATTAAATCCTGCATTGTTTAAGAGGTTGTGGATATTTAAAAAAGGTAAGGTATCTGCATGTTAAAACTTTTAAAAAATTTGCGTTGTTGAGAAGTGAACAACCTGAGAAATCCATAAGTTTTGTGGGTACTAGATTTTGCCAAATTAGTTATATAACTTCACCTCAACCATCTATCAATCCATAGAAAAATGTACACACACACTCATAAGGTTAATTTAATTGTAAATATTTTTCTACTTCCCTAACCAATCATAAATTATCACTACAGAAAACACATTTAATTGTCATCTACTTTAGATATATTGTTTGACTATCTGATGATTTTTTTGTTTATTAAAATCATTACTTACAATAATACTTACTTATTTAAGTTTTCCTTCGTACATGGTATCATTGGTAATAATTTAAAGATGACTTTGTTAAAATTCGATATTTTTTTAATAGCTGAGATATCATTTAAGTGAGTTTGCATCCAAAATTGTCGAAATTCTGTCTGGAAACACAAATGATATATCTTAGGAAAAAAGATGCACAGTAAAAAAGGTATCAGACTATTGTCTGAATAAACCTTTATTATCTGTAGAATGCTAATAAATAGTGTTTCAATGTTAGTGCTTCAGTAAACCTAAGTATTACCTATATTAATTTCCTATATGATATTTTATTAACTTGGTTAACCTACCTATCTACCTAACCTATATTACTAAGTCAATAAGGAATTTCATTGGTAAACATGTGTACATAAGTTATGTGTAATAAATCATTAATATTTTTATTAATTTCAAGTTTTGTATAATAAGTTTCTGAATCTCTAGAGTTGCAATTATGATATACAGTTGAAACTTGTATGTTTGATTTATAAACTAGGTGTATTTGGTGGTAAAAACTTACCTCTCCATCTGTCATAGGCTGATTATTCCAAGCTAATAAATCTAACACATACATTGTATTTGATTCTTTATCATAAAAGCAATCCAACACACAATTTCCACTTGATTTGGGATTACCACCCGGAAGTGATGTGCAACATTCAAATTTAAAATGACCATACTTGGTAAAGCATTTAGTGTTACCCTTTAAAAAAATATAGTTAGTTTTTTACATGTTACCTCATACTAAGAACAAAAAAGGCTGATAGAAATATATTGGTTCAATATTGATAGGCTCAATTATAATTATATATAAAATTTAAGCCGTCTCCAGAAAGTCCATTTTTGAATCTTTGAAAGCATGTATTATGCATTTGTGATGTCAAGATGATATTAAAAAGGTTTTTGAGCAGAAGCAGACTTCTATTTTTCTTTATAAAAAAATGACTACAAAAGATTCAATAGTAGAAGTGAAAAAGTAAAGAATATTTTTTACTTAGCTTACAATATACTTACATGAAAAGCTATGACAAGCAATCTCATTGCTTTAGGGCAAGGGGCAATGTACCAATTTGTTTCAAAGTCTGAGGGTTTCTCGATCAGCCATTCAGATAGCATTAAAACATTACTATATGTTTGAGGTGTTTTATGAAATCCAGCTACATAAATATTTGGTCTGTAAGACACCTAAAATAATAAATAACATGTTTGTGTTTATAAATATGGTTTTCCCCAATCAAAACTTGTTTTACATGTTGTTTATCACAAAAATATCAAATAATTGTGATAAATGCCTTAATATTTTAATTTTACAAAATTTAATTGTGTCTCTGAAACAAACTTAATCGCAATTTAAGTAATTGTTTAAGGGATTCAATATTACAATTCAATTCATGTTTACAATTTCCAACTCAAGTAACTGGTGTTGTCTAAATTTTTACATGTCCCATAATGGCTGAAAATACTGTTTTGACTACAGTTATAACAAGGAATATTTTTATTTCTTTATTAAGACCCTCTGTTTACATACTTACTTTGTTACTTGGTTTGAATGTTTTTTCTTGTTTCACAACGTTAATAAGTCCTCTTAATTTATCAACCTTATTCTGTCTATTGCTGTAAAATAATTAAGACAGAATTATATAGGATCTAGAAAAAGATTTAAAGCATTTACTTTATGTTTAACCTACCTTTTTTGGGTTTCTAAGAGTTCTTTGCGTCGTTCCTCCTGAGATCCATATTTTCCCCAATTTTTATACAGGTCCTGATGTGACAAATCGTCATCCTTTTCCCCAATAGCTTCAAGATTTTGAATGGCTTTTTCTAATACTTCAATATCTCCCTCCATTATAGATTCACGATGATAGATGAATTGACCGTATTTTATTAGTTAATTATTTAAATTTAAAATAAGATTATGTATGTATTGTTCATTTAGAAGTTAGAAAAGCGGTAAGCCGACTGCCGAAGCCGTGCCGAACTATTTTGAAATTTGAAAACTGACAAACGCGAATCGACGTTTGACAACTGACAATACATAAAGCTTATGCAATTATTTTATAATTTATATTGTTGAATTTTTATCACTTTTCAAATATACCCAGATATTATCATAAAATAAGAATATTATAACTTTTATAATATTCAGGGACTAATGACTTAAGAGACAAAACAAATCATTGACAAAATTACGCAAAAATTATATATTATTAGAAAAAATCCACATAGGTTCCAATCAGTATAATTTAAAGATAATTAATAAAATCTGATTCGAATCATACCGAGTTCGTCTTTACTTATATTTTATTCCTAATATGTGTCTTTGATCATTACATTACGGGCAAATAGGTATATGAGATTTTTTATTTTATTTTATATTCTTTATATAATAATTTATTGAAAAGTTCGTTGGCGGCATTTAAAAGTCTTTATAATAATTATATGAATTTCGGCCAAATTAGACTAGTAAAGTTATTTCTATATTTTAGTTTGTTTATTTATCTAAAAGGATACGTACAAAATAATAAAATATTAACGACGTACGACAGTCGAAAATAGTCAAATAAATAAACAAATTAACTATTTAAAATTAAAAAGATTAATTATTTCTGTGAATTTTAATTACAATAATTAGTAAATATTTTTATTTTAGTTCTTTTCATCTGAAATCAAGTCTACAGTAGAAAGGAATATACCTATATTGTAGTTGACTTATGCATCCTATGCGTTAGACGTTATAATCGCTTCGATACGGAGATTCTGGATACAAACGGACATGCACAGAATTTTGTTTTCCATCCATGTGGAAGTTGTAAACAAACCTAAATATATTATATATCTACGTAATAGTTACAGGATAAGTAATATTAATATTATAATAAAATTAATATTGTAATAAAATTAATCTTCATAGCTTTGATTCACACCGAAAACTATTTTTGTAGTATTTGTCTACCTATAAAATTTTCGTATGCCCGTGCCTATAGGTATAATCTCTCTCATAATTATCTCTGTACGTTTAAAAAAATTGATAAAATTTATTCACAGTTAAACGCCAAATTATTTCAAACTTACTTTACAAATTATAATTAGAAAAAATCCACTGTAATTATTGTTAGTAAAAAACCTGAGGCAATTATTGTCTTCCTTAGATACATGCCTGTTGGTTTACCCAGTAGATTCAATAGCGATTCTAAACTAGATTGTAATTTCAATATTTAGTTTCCTTACCACGTAATGCCAAGTGTAGTATAATAATTAGGATATGAAAAGAGCCTCAAATTTGAAAGTCAATATCGATCTTATAGAGTCGCCCCGCTTTAAAAGTGAAATTATTTAACGTTCAGCGTGCAACCAAAGATAATTAAAGTAAACAACAATTAAGTTACTATATTATTTTCTTTGGTGCAACATATTTGTTTCCTTTACGTTCGTATTAACAAAATTTAAAAAAAAAGTGCTTTGGCGGCATATAAAAGTCTTTGTAATAATTATATAAACTTATGTCTAAGTAAATATTAAACTCTTAAACTTATTTTTGTCATAAATTTAACTTATATATTTTTTTAAACAAGTTCAAATATGTATTACTTAAACAACGCTTAGAATAATGCGCTGTATATAATAAGTTTCTAAAATCTCATTGATATCCATCTATCAATTTATCAAAAATGATTCAGTGGATCGGACAAAAATCGTAGTTAGGATATAAAGCAAGTTAGCCAGCTAAGTTAAAAAAATAATAGGTCAGAGGTAAAATTAGATGTCACGCAAAACGTTTTTTCCTTTAGGACTGTTGTAGGTATAGTAGTAGGCAATTAAAGGCACGAACTACAGTTACATTTCAATAAGTGAATTTTCACGTTAACATGAGTAAAAAACTATGTCGTTTTTACTCTTTTTAATTTATTAACGTATACTGAAACTACATAAATCTAAATTTAATTTTGAAACGTCCCGCGCTTTGGCTTTTGTCGTGAAGTAACTTTTTTTACCAACGAAAATTCCAACCAACGAGATATTGTTTTTAAAATGTTTATCAAAATTTTTAATCTGTTCTACATAAAATATATATGACTATGATCAAGAATCAAAATAAAGCTAAAATAATTATAGTCATTAATAGCATCGTTCAACGAACATGCATGTTATCGCGGTGTGGCTAACTTATGGCACTTACCTCATTAATTGAAAAATTCATTGGCAAAAGTGATAGCCTTTAAATATCTATTATTACTCTATAAATAATGAAATGTATACATTTTAATAAGTAACATTAATATAACTAAATTAAATAATGAAGAATTATTACTATTTTTGAAGTTATACTTCTTTAGGCGCGTTAAAAATTTATGAGAGTGAAATTTTACGATGCGCGCGCACCTGAGACACAAAGTTGTCAGTGTGATTATAGCGTGCGCGAGCGAGATGGGAATAAGACAATCTACAAGTAAAAATAAATAGAATATGCGTGAAGTTAGCAGCTATGCCAAGAATTTTGAATGAACATAATGACATTTACCTTTTAAACAAATAAAGGAGTTTTAATTATTTTTTCAAAGAAATTTAGCAATGCTTTTTCACAAAGACCTATTGTTACTTAGTTAAAAGGTTATGAAACATACGTAGTTATTAAATTGAATGAATAATATAATAAAATAATAAATAATAACAATTATTATTATTAATATTAATTAATAATTGAATAATATACTAAATATTAAATTATTAACGTTAAATATTTGTTATTAATTATTTTAAAAAATAAAGAAAGCCAAAGAAGTATAACTTCTTACGCGCGTACATAAGTACATGCACCCTTTTTTATATAATATAAAAACACTTTCTGAAAGTCTATTAAATGTAATAAAAAATAAACATATTACATTTCGTACTAATTATGTTCTTATGTATCTAAATACACAAATTTTCGTCACCCATCAATAGATTATTTTGGATTAGATCTGTATATAGTATGTAGTATTAATTATTATATAGGTTTTACTAAATATTGTGATTTAATAATAAATAAATTAAGTTGGAAATTTGATTTTTATTAAGTGGCAACTCTATTACTAAGGCACGACTATAACCGAACATCTTTCTTTTCGATCCGAGAATATCCGAACAAATGATTAGGTCACGTGGTACTTTTGGAGTCTTCGTGGCGTAGCTTGTTCAGCTGCTCGTCGAAGCGGCTGTCGGACGGTCGCCTCTTCGCGATACTGCGTACAATGTAGCAGCCATTTTTGTTCTTAGTCTATAATAGCGTGCGCATATTTAATGTATTTAGGGAAATAGCTAGAAAATTTTCACGATGACTATAATAGTCTTTTTAATAGATACATCAGCATCTATGAACCAAAGAGCTTATTTGGGCGGACGCCCAACGTTACTTGATGTAGCCAAGGGCGCTGTGGAAACATTTGTTAAGGTACGTGCAGTGTCATCGACATCAAACGCCTCATTTTAATGATCGATTTCTTTGGCTGTAATTTTAATGTGCTAATTGCTATTATGTTGTAGGTACGTCAACGATCTCCTGAAAGCAGAGGCGATAGGTATATGCTTCTAACTTTCGAAGAGCCACCCGCGAACATCAAGGTTAGTGTAGTAGAGTGAACACGTTTTGCTATTTATTCCGATAATTATAAATACTTTAATCCATAGTATTCAGTATAAAAGATCTCTTTGTCAAACACTTCATTTTGTAGACCAATAAATGAACATTCTTTGCTAGTGAATTAACAAAATGTACAGCACGACGTAAACAGGACGAGCGGCTGCCGTTGCTGTCTGCGCGATATCGCTCGCGACTGCGCTCCTCGCACTCTGATTGGTCGAGACCGCATTTTAAACGAAATGGCGAATTGGGGGGAAATATGAATTCATGACTCGTCTAGCTTCGTTTTAAATGATAACGTTTTCGAGATATGGGATATTTACATGTTTTCTTTACAATATTATTATTATTGTTTTAATATGTAATAACTTTCCCATTGCAGGCTGGTTGGAAAGAGAATTTGGCTACATTTATAAATGAACTGAAGAATTTACAGTGCCTTGGTCTTACCACAATGGGTGCTGCTTTGAAGCATGCCTTTGATGTTTTAAATATTAATCGCATGCAGACTGGAATAGACACTTATGGCCAAGGAAGATGTCCTTTCTATCTTGAACCTTCAGTAATTGTTGTTATAACAGATGGAGGAAAACTATCAAGCAATGCTGGTATACAGGAAGAGGTAATTAAAAATAAATATATATTTACTCAAACCAACTAGGAAATCTTATTGGATAAAAATATACCAATTTAAAACTATAGCAAATATGCTGTAATGTATGGATTTTTAAGATTGTTATTGTTCTTGTATTTATAATATAATATTTATCAGAAGTACAACTCCAGAATATATTTATTTTGTTAAACAGTTTAATCTGCCTATGAACTGCCCTATACCTGGATCGGAACTAACTCGGGAGCCATTCCGATGGGACCAAAGACTTTTCTCCCTAGTATTGAGGCTAGCAGGAACCCCAGCTGTAGAGCGGGACACAGGCCTGGTACCATCAGACTCTTCTCCGATTGATGCAATGTGTGAAGTTACGGGTGGTAAGTGGATGGAAAAATAATTAATTAGTCAGTTTATAATAAAATCAGTTTTATAACTTTGAATACAATTACTTACATTTCATTTATTATTACATTTTATACATATAAACATAAATAACACATATATTAAAATATAGAGAGAAATAGTGTTTCATCTCCTGAAGTGACTAAGCTCAACCTTACATTTCCAAATATATATAAATAGATGAAACAATTCATTCACCAATAGCCGAGAAATGGTATTTTTTTCTAAATATTTTTTTTTGCTAGATTAATGCTTCTCTAGATATAGAATTGATGATTATTACTATCCCATTAGTATAATCATCAAAGTTTTCTACCATAAAAGCTTATCAAACAGTGACACACATATTTTAATGGTAATTTATACTAAAAATATTTTAAATCAAAACATTAAAATTTAGTTTTGCCTTATTTCAGATTGTCTTATACAATGAATTAAGCCTTGTTTATGGCAACAAAGTTGTTTTGTCAGCATTTTCTCAGAAGTTCTACCGTAATTTATGTATTATTTTCCCTCAGATATTGTCATTTCGTATCTGTGACTGCACTGAGTCTCACAGTCTGATAAGTCAGTACACCCCGAATCCCATTCTTACTATATTCGTTATTTGCTTAGAAATCGCGTAACAATTCTTGCAAGTAACTGTAATGCAGTCGTGTGCTTTCTGGCAGTGAGTTTATAAAGCGTTATATCACTTATCAGTAGTGTCTTAATAGGCAATTTTTAGATACCTACGGCCATCATGCAACACGTCTTATACATGATTATTGTAATTTGAAATCGTCGTCAAATCTAGTATATTTTTAAGGAGTGATAAACTGGACACATCTGTAGGCTCGTGACTTAATAGGCAATTGATGGATAGGTCATGACCATTTCAAGTATTTTTATTATTATTATTACATTACATTACTTATACAAAATTAATTTTATTTTTGGGCACTGTAAAAAGCACCTTGATGTCAAGCAATAAGACTTCTATACAGTGTCCGAGAATTTTAAGTAATAAGGACATAATGCTTACTATATTGATAATGGTATAGGCCTCCAAAATTGATACCATAACACATTAATAATAAAAATTCAATGAGATTTCAAATTTATACTAAAACTATCCTGCTGGAGTTCTTGTCTTAAAAAAAATTAATTAGTTGATGAGACACAATTATATAATACGATTGGATTTTTTGCGTTCAATACATTTGTTTTACTGCACGCTGTTGGACGTAAATTGAAAAACTATATGCTCATATATTTTATTTTTTTCGGAAATCGAAACCGATATATCATAGGTTGCTTATCTTCATTAACAGACCAGAATCTTTTAGCCGGTGTTGAATGAACTATTAGTACTTTACTTTAGTTTTTCCTCGCTCAACGAATAAGTATCGCAATACAGCGAGGTAACGCTGCCAGCGTAAAGCTGTCTACACACCGCAGCCGCCGGCCCGCCGGCACGAACCCGGCGGCTTTAGAAGTTGCGAGCCTGACAATTTTCCCGGCGGCACGACAGTCGCGGCATGCAGTGTTCCCAATTAGTGATTGCCAAGTGCTTGCTAGTGACTTTTTAAATTTTTTATTTTTCTCTCCACTTCATTAACGGATTCCATAATGTTTAGTCGATTGATACTATTTCTTAAAAGCCGGTGGGCAACCGGTGGTGAAGAGCGGAGAGGAGCGTGCCGCGGGGTAGATCGCGCGGGTGCAAGCCGCCGGCAACATCGTTAAAACCAAGACCGCCGGCCTTGCCCGCCGGGTTCGTGCCGGCGGGCCGGCGGCTGCGGTGTGTAGACAGCTTTAAAGGTGCACCGCCACAGGGACCATACTTTTTAAATTTGTTTTAATTTTCTTTTTATTATTACTATTTAGAGTAAGAAAATTATAAATACTGTATAGTTGATTGTTATGTTTAGGTTTTAATTAAAGATTCAGATTTCTTTAGGAAATAGGTATTTTTTTACGAAAACAAATACACGAATAGAAATCGTCTGATTATTGTCTATGGTTTATGCGAGTACTATACATTTAATTTTAAACGCGTTTAAACATTTACTTAACCCGGCTTTTCAAATGTTTTATTACGTCGTGGTCAGCGACAGCCACTAAGTTGAGAAATAACAAATAAATATCAGATCCAGGACCCGGCATACGGAAGATACATTATGAGCTAAGTCTCGATTCGGAATCATACCCGAACTCTATTAATCCATTGTCTTATTACCGCCATCTGCTGCCGCGACTCGCTTCGCGAATTTCGCTGGATCGTGTGATAATTACTAATTGTTTTTCTTTACAACCGTTTTAAAAGTCAAGTAAATTATGTGAAAAAAAACCGTTAATAAAGTTATATTTAAAGCTACTTTAATTAACCCACATCGCAATGCAAATCTTTCTCAAATAGATTACCAATTTCAGTAAACAGGGAGTGACAAGCCCTTTAGAAACCAGTTATACACGTTTTTTGAGCTTCGCTTATTATAAATATTTATACTAGTGTCAATTAGTTGAAGATATACCTGACCTTGATGATAATCTTTCACATAAGAATGCATTTTTACGCATATCACTGCATCTTTGAAGTTAAACTGCAATTTTGCAGATTATTAAAGCTTTTAAAAGATTACAACAACAAGTATGTATTTAAATTAATGATGTGAAACTGTTAGGCAGACAGGAATAAAATTTAGCCTTCATAGGACTCATTTATGCAAAGTTTCGTGAAGCGATGCTATAATGATATGGTTAGATGATGTCTAATGCGTTTAGCCATTCAGGCTCATTGATACACGGTGGACCAACGCGTCGTTCGTTATTCAAATAACAATCGTATTTGCTATAAATCGAAATTTTGTAGGGACATATTATTTGTGATAAACTTTCTTTCGTCAATTAAATTAATCCTTCAGTTCTGTTTAGTTTTCGAGGTGTGGTTGCTTTGATGTTATTTATAAGCGTGAATCTGTAATCGACATTGCCATTCTACATGACGACTTTTGTTTTAAAAATTTTTTTATGCATGGCGATCTGTATTTGTGTATCGGGTATCTCTATTTTAGGGTTTTATGCATATATATATTTACACAATTTAAAATACATTTTTAAAATAATGAGCATAGCAATGAAAGTTGAAGAAGCTTCTACATTATAAAGATTGTTGTTTACATACTACATAGTACGTGCAGATTTAAAATGTTCTTGAATGGTAAAGTTTACTATGGATTTGTGCATTCGAATTCAAAAGATCTTTATTCATTAAAAACAGTTTGCCAACGGGAAATATAGTAAAATATTATAAATAGAAAAAAAAATTACAGTAAAAACGAATGGTACACCTTTTATCAGACTTTATACTTCATAACTATTAATAACAGAAATACATAACTAAAAAAATATATGATTTAATTTTAAAATATAAATAAATTAATGCAAAATTTTGGAAAGAATAGCTCTGCGAAACTGACTGAGTAGGTAATAATTGTTTATCGGTTCTCACAGAAACTTAATATTTATATTATTATCTTGAACACTACGTAGTTGGTCCCAAAGTTCTGTCACTAGCACATTATTTCTACATTTCGAGCAGGATTTTATAAAAAAATTATTGCATTCTATTTTGGAATGTTTGATTATTGTTTTAAAACAAAAAACAATAACTTTCCGTAATTTTTCACGATGGAGTGGACATTGAAAGTAAACCGAATAGTTGTTATTGCGTTGCACCGCTGTGGACACTCGCCGAGTACCATTTTCAAGTTGCTCAAAAATTTGAATATAACGCTTAGGTTTGTGTACGGTACTATTGATAGGTACCTTGAAGTCTCCAGTGTTGAGGACAAGAAAAGAACTGGCTGGCCACGCTCCGCAAGAACACCAGCAGTAATCAAAGCTATCAAGGCGCGGATAGTAAGAAATCCTGTCCGAAAACAGAAGTTGATGGATTTGCAGATGGGTGTCAGTAGGAAAACAGTAAAAAAGGTTTTAAATGAAGATCTTGGTCTACGAGCATACAAAAAAAAGAGTGGGCACTTACTTAATGCACGTCTAAAAGCAATAAGGCTTAAGAGATCGCGGGTGTTGTTTAAGCGGTACGCGAAAAACCGACACCGTGATATCCTCTTTACGGACGAAAATTTTTTCGATATTGAAGAGAAGTACAATAAACAGAATTATACAGTGTACGCTAGGAGTTCTGAAGAAGCTGAAAATAAAGTTCCAAGGGTGCAACATGGACATCATCCATCATCAGTAATGGTTTGGTTGGGAGTGTCCTATTACGGGCTAACTGAGGTTAATTTTTTCGAAAAGGGGGTCAAAACCAGTGCTACAGTGTACCAAGAGACGGTTTTGTATCGCCTTGTCAAAGACATGTCCAGCACCCTATTTGCGGGACATCACTTCGTGTTCCAGCAGGACTCTGCGTCTGCATACAAAGCCAAGACCACTAAAGCCTGGTTTGAGCGTCAAAACATCGTCTTAATTAGACATGAGGATTGGCCTTCCTCCAGTCCGGACCTTAATCCTTTGGACCAGAAATTATGACAGGGCTTAGAGAGGAAGGTCTGTGATAAACCTCATGAAAATTTGGAGAATCTGAAGTCATCTTTAAAAAAACCAGTGACTGAAATCGACACGAATATGGTGCGTGCTGCGATAGACGACTGGCCGCGACGCTTAAGGGCCTGTATTAAAAATGAGGGAGGTTATTTCGAATATTTTTATGCTTTTTTTATTCCTTAATTAATGTACTAAGAATTGATATATCACTCATTACAAACTGATCAGTACTTTTGTTTTTATCATTATTTCCATTTATGACAGAACTTTGGGACCGACTACGTATATCCTAAGCATATCCTTTACGATACTTGTCTAGTATTTAATCCGTTATTGGTACCAAAATTAGCTGCTGTGTTATACACATATACCGTTATAACCAGCGCTTTTTTCGTTCCGTTTCAAAGGTCGAAGTTTTCTGTAGAAAAATATTATTTCTATTTAAATCATCAAAACGATTGTACTATTGTTCGTGTTAAGGATACAGAACTCGTGCGTTCATAGATATATCACAAGTTAAATTTAAGCAAATAGAAATTAAACAATTTTCCTCATTAAAGATTGGAAGATAAAAAAGTAATCTTTTTATATTGTTCGCTGCAGGTTTATAAACGAAGGCCTACCTATGCTAATGTATGCAAGCATACACTGCTGCATTTTCTAGTATTTTATATTCGGTCGTCAAATTTCATAATGTTTTTTTTATTTTTTTATTTTATTTTGTATTTTAAATTTTCTGCATCCTCTTTGTTTATCTTGATTATTTTCGTGTAAGAAAAAAATAGAACACAATTTTTAGTTCAAACAAAAATTTTGATATTTAATATTGTTAATCCAATTTAATTTAGTCGAATTTATTTTTGATGATACCTTTGGTATCAGCTTTCCTCCCTCAACGAATAATTAGTAATCGTAATACAGCGAGGAAATGCTGCCAGCGTTAAAGGTACTCTGCCGTAGGGACCAAACTTTTTAATTTTGTTTTTATTAATTATTTTTTACTATGTAGGTTTTTTAAATACTGTATATTTTATTGTTATGATTACTAGTAAACAATTGACAGTTATACTGTTTTATGTGTCTACCATATATCAAACTGATAAACGCAAATTGTTTGCGAGGTATTAAAATTAATTTATATGAATGGAATTTGAATATCTTAAATCGATCTATCTATATTCCAGGTCGATCCTACTGTATCACCTCCCATCGTATGCTGATGCAGTGCATCGACAGTCTCGTGCAAAAGGTGCAGAGTGGTGTGGTGATAAATTTTGAAAAGATTGGTCCTGATCCGCCGCCTATTGACGGTGGACCTAATAGAGACGGGGAAGACGAGCATCACGATGAGAAGGATATAGAAATGGACAACGATAGAAATGGGGTAAGAAATTATTTTATTTGTGACTTGTGAGGTTTTTCGTATTAAAAGTAATTTTTTCTACCCCATCAAGCAACCCATGTTCCCAGAGAAGCCGAGACTTTACAGTTTGACGATGTATGAATGTGGTTAAATTGTTCTGATTGTTTTATCACACATCTGATTACTTCATATACGAACGCGTTCTTATAATATATTTTGCAACGTAAGCTTGTATATCGACAGATACTATAATACCTATATATGTTAAGTATCACCAAGGCCCAAAATTAAAACCCACTTATGATTGTGACAATAAATATGTTTTGAATGAAATATCAAAAAAATAAAAAATAAATCAGTGGCGTTACAACCTTTCGTGGTCTGGGCCTCAGATTTATGTATTTGTGTCATGATCATTTGACAATCTAAAAGGTTAGTAGGTGATGAGCCCCATGTGCCTGAACACGCCGTCTACTTTTTGGGTCTAAGGCAAGCCAATTTCTTCACGATATTTTCCTTCACTATTCGAGCGATTGTTTAATGTACACATAGAAAAAACGTGCATTGGTGGACAGCCTGGGATCGAACCTAAGTCTTAAGGGATGAGAATCGCACGCTGAAGCCACTAGACCAACACTGCTCTAAATGAAATATCAACTTTTTTATATTTTTTAATAAATTTGAAATACCAGCCGTAGTTGTTATGAGTCGAAGAATCTTTATAGAAGCAGCCGTTTTTATAGAACGGAATTGAAAAGTAAGGCCGCAGGCACAAAGATTTGACAAACCACAGAACAATGCCTTATCTTTTTTCATTACTTGCCTTATCGTACAATTAACATATTGATTGTACACACATTTCATTTTCTTTTAGTTTTTAAATATGTTTTCCGTGTATTTCGATTTGTATCTACTACGCTTTAAATAAAATAATTTACGTACGATAATTAATGTTTTAAATACCTATAAATAGCTCACCCTCAAACAATCTTAAAACCATAGTTAACAAAATTTCCAGCGGCGTGGACCGTTGATACTTAGACCATTGATAAAAAAAAAATTTTAATAGACAAATAGGTGATTAGACTTCTGTGCTTGACTCACGCCGTTGATTGGGTTCAAGACCGGCTGGTTTCTGAACAAAGTTTTCGTTAACTGTATGAACGTGTTGATTGCGGGCATAGAAAGAAATACATTGGAACAGCAGTGATTCGAACGCAGGACAGACCGATTGCAAGCCTAACCACTGCGTACACTGTTCATATTTTATACCCATTACCTACAATAAAGTTATTATTATTACAGAGATGGAACGGCGGTCCATATCAATCGACTTTGGCAGCAGTTCAACCAGGCGCACCGCAAGCGTGGCATTCGTGTCGCCGTCTCATCTACGTACCACGAACTGTGTCACAAAAGGGGTTCGCTGTTGGGTTTTGGCCTATACCCGAGTCATTTCGACCCGATCCTAATGCGCCGACACTCGTAAGTTTAATACATAAAATAAAACAAATATAATTGCATTGTGTTCGGGGTTCCGATGTTAGTGTTAACTATGTAAAAATGTGTTGAACGTTACAAACAAACGACTACAAATAATTAACTAAGTGAAAAGTTGTATTTATTTTTGGAAAACCAATTTGCGTGTAGAATTGAGAAATTTACTTCATAGCATTGAAAAATAGAAAATACTGAGCATTCTAAATTCAATTTATTCTTGGGTTTCAAACTCAGAACTTTTCCTTCAAGATATTTCATCAACTAATTGCCTTGTAGCTATTGATTAGTAATACTAGATCAATAAAATTGTAATCTTTTACAAATATTATGTTCAGTATGAATGGATTTTAACTGGTTAGTTGTGTGACTGAAGCAATCGAATGAAACTCGAATAAATTTAAAAAAAAAGGGGTTGTTGGGTGACAGTTGCTAATGAAACCAAAGTTTGTACAAAATAATTAGTTCAGGTTGAAAGCTACAGAAAGCAAATAAAAACCTAGGATTTTAAAAATACTCCGATTTCAAATACCTGGTAACATGAACAGATACCCATATAACAAAAACTACTAAACCTATTTTGATGAAACTTGGTCTTGTCCTTGCGTTGGCGTATACCTGATTAAATCCCGATTTCTAGGATTACTGACGTCATTAAAACTAATATTCCAATGCATTTTCACAATTTATAATTACTTTTATTCATTTCTTGAAAAGTGACAATACATATTTTGCTTAGCTGTAACCGACTGAAGGACTTATATGGTCATATATTAATAAATATCTAATATTTGTAATGAATAATATATATACATATATAATAAATACTTTTAACATATTTATTACAGCCACCTCGCTCTGCGCATCCCGTCGTGAAGTTCACTTGCTCGAGCCAAGAGCCGATGGTGATAGATAATTTGCCCTTTGATAAGTATGAGTTAGAGCCGAGTCCACTCACACAGTTTATTCTGGCCAGGAAACAACCCACTATATGCTGGCAGGTGAGAAGTTTTCTAATGTTTATAGAGAATAAAAATAAAACTATTATTTTAATATTTTTTTTTGGTTAACTGTCTTTAATTTACTTATTTCATCAAAATGTGTAAATTAATGATATCAACGATTCAGCTTAAATGTACACTTGTCTAATAATATAATGCTACTTAATTTAAAAATCTTATAAAAAATTGTAAAAAGGTCCCAGTGTATATTTCCATTGATTTTAATATATTAACAGGTTAAGACTGATCTATGAATTGAAGAGTAAAAGAAAATAATTTAATAATATTCTTTTAAGTAATATATTTTAATTAAACTCTCATTATTACAGGTGTTTGTAGCGAACAGTAGCTGCAAGAACTCAGAAGTGAGCCATCCCTTTGGTTACCTGAAAGCCTCCACCAACCTCACTTGTGTGAATCTCTTCGTCTTACCATACAACTATCCAGTGTTATTACCTTTATTGGATGACTTATTTAAAGTCCACAGATGCAAGCCAACGCCTGAATGGAAAATGGCTTTCCAACAGTATTTAGATAGGATGCCTTCTTATTATGTTACAGTGAGTTTTTGCTTTATAAAGATTTGTGTGTTTGTAACGAGTACACTCACTACTGAACAAGTACTATTCCAAACATTCTTTCACCGTAGGAAAGCTACGTTATTCTTGACTTTATTTATTTTCAAACTCTTGAAAACTCAATGTGTTTTCGACACATACATTGTATGATAGCGTTTAATATTTTGTTTGTTATAAATATTCTTTGTAAAAATTTTGCTAGTTATTACACAATACACAACACAATATAACTGTAAGGAAACTTAATAATACCAAACAACTGTTACAGTTTACATACAACGATAATATTGACAATATTAAACGATAGTGTTGAAATTTGTTAAAAAAAATATCATGCAAATAATTAAAAAAATATGTGTCAATATGCTATGTATGTAAATATGTATGTGTATATCTAATATGTAAAATTCTCGTTTCACAATGTTCGTTCCCATACTCCTCCGAAACGGCTCTACCGATTCTTATAAATTTTTTTATGCATATTCAGTAAGTCTAAGAATCGGCTACTATCTATCTTTCAAACCCCTAAGTGATAAGGGGTGTCCACCCCAAAATTTTATGTTTTATTTATTTAGTTTTTTTGTTTTTATCTTTTTATGATCAGCCATCAAAAATACATACAACTCCTTATTTTATCCCTCTATGATCAACCTCTATTATGTTTTATTGTAGCTATAGTTATTTTTATTGAACTAAAAAATGATTCCTAGAAATAATATACATGGCAAAACAAATGTTTGCCGGGTCAGCTAGTAATGTATATAAAATGGTATTGTAATTCTATTATTCAATCTTAAAGCAAGTATATCTAAGATTCCTATAACTAACTCATTGTAATTTATACAATGTATCATTGTCGCTTTAGTAAATTTACTGTGGTAATATAAAAGTGTATATTTTTAAATTATTTGTAAATTAAAATTTGATTTAAACTAAACAACTTTAATATAAATAACTTAATTTCAGCCACTCCGTCGAGCTTTAACCAAAATGGGTGCATCGGCACCACTCGTTCAAAGTTTAATCCCTGAGACTCAAGATATCTGCCTTAGCTTCTCCGTACTGAACTATTTGAAAAGACTGAAGAACCAAGCCAAAGTTGAGTTCGAGAAACTCTGTGCTGACGTCATTAATAAGGCCTCCAGTAATAATAGCCAGAAGGTGATTATTAATAATATGACTTTTTTATTGTTAAGACTTTTTAGTAATATTATTTAAAACATATACACCAGTAAAACAGCAAGTGAAAACTTGTGTTAATATAAATTCATATAATTTTTTACGCATAGGTTTCTAATGAGAGGACTTGGAGACAAGTTCATTTAATAGTATTCTCTACTTTCTGACAATTCTATTTCTATAAATTTCCATTTTTGAAAAGACCTCAAACTGAAGATTATTTAATTTGACGTGTAATTTTATGATAATTATTTGCAAATATTATTCAAATGTTTTATTTCTTGGATTCAAACCTAGGCCTAATATAGATAAACTGCGCTTTAAACACTCAGATAAAATAATTAGTATCTATGTCAGTTAAATAGTACGAGTAAGTAGTAAAATGTTATCTGTAAAATTCCAATTTTCTTACAACGCCTTATCTTCGTTTCGACATCGTAACTTACGTTTATTGAATTCCTTTAGATGAGTTTCTCATATTTTTTAACTGATTCTGTAAATTAGGTAATTTCTATAATCAACGATTTGTAATTACGGTTTTTTTTTGGTAGTATTAAATTAATCCGGGTAATAGTTTTTTTTATTATTTAGGGGAAATAAAAATTGGGTCTCAGTAGTCAACTATGTATTATTGACATTATTTTAAACCATCTTAGAAATGCCCATTAAAAAATATAATCTATTTTCGAAATGTTGTCTAATAGTTGTATCACCTCTTATCAGACCTCGATTACTCACAGTTCAAAGCATTGAGGTCAATGATTATTTCCATGTTGAATAAATATTTGTTTATTTATGTTCAACGAGAGGTGTGAAATTACGTAATTGTATGAAACCATAAAACGGATTTAATATCTCAAACTTTGTTCCTAAGCCGTATTTGCACAGATTTGTACGTCATCCGTCTCATGTTATAATACCTCATGTTATAACTTATAACGCGATACGAATATTAATCTTGTTTATACCGCGAATTCCTGGGTTCGATTTCTGAAACAATTTTTTTTATTGAATTGAAATTCTATAAAATTGATATATGAAATATCGCCTTAAATTAATAGAAATGAAATGTGAAATCTCTTGTTACGTGTAGATTGAGTTAAGAAAAACTTGTCTAACATGCAATGACTAAGGTCTTTTTTAACTTTAAGATTTAAACATTTTTAAATTGCGATAATAACTGAAAACTATATTGATTGATAAATTATCTTGATATACTTTTTTTGAAACGCTGAATTAACAATACCGTCAGCAAAACGGACAAATCTGGTAGCTGAGCGTATATCTTAAAATAAATCCCTGTTGTATAATAGTTGTTCCCCATTAAGTAACACAGTGTTTTATTATTGAAGTGAAACTCCTTTATCGGCGATGGAAAAAAAATTACGTCACGTGACGTCGTCACTTTTTTCCCTTACGCGCCGCGCCATCTTTTTCTTGTCCTGCGGTTTCGGATCCAGTTTATTGATTAGTTGCAAGATTTGTTGTTTGTGAAGTTTGCCTACCTCTGAAAACTTCAGGCTTAGCGCAACGTACTGTTATTTATATTGGATAATATTTTTCACCTTATATTTAATTAATATTGCAGTATTATGTTTAGTTATAAATAGAAATTATTCTTTTAAATCATTATTATTTTCAGGTAGCAGAAAGCGTCCGCGTATTACCTAGATCGCCTTTAAAGAAGGATTTAACAAGTCATCCATGTTTACAAGACAAGTTCACAGCGCTCCGTGATCAGTTGAACGAATTTGGGGGTTTCGTAGTGGGACTATCCCGAGGCCGACATAGAACCCAAGCGCATACATATCGAAATCCATTCGATATACAGCGACGGGATTTATTGGATCAGGTATATTTATAGTATATACTAGCTGATCCGGCAAACGTCGTTTTGCCATATATATCATTTATAATAAAACATAGGGGTTGATCGTAGAGGGGTGAAAATTAGGGGTTGTATGTATTTTTTAATGCATTAAAATCATAAAAAAATGCATCATATGCAATATTTTTTAATGCATTAGAATCATAAGAAATAAATCATAATTTATCATAAAAAAAAAAATTAAAAAAAAATTATCTAAAAATTAAAAATAAATAATTTAGGGATGGACTACCCTTAACATTTAGGGGGTTGAAAAATAGATGTCCGATTCTCAGACATACCCAATATGCACACATGCACACAAAATTTCATGAGAATCGGTCAAGCCGTTTTGGAGGAGTTTAACTACAAACACCGCGACATGAGAATTTTATATATTACATAAGACTGAATAAAACTTACTTCAAAATTTAAAGATCTTTTTGACTAACATTAAAAAAACTGAGTATGTAGAACTTATACGTGGTGTGTTTTTTTAATGGAATTGTTTTTATAGACACGGGCTGCTGGTAAGTGATACCGCACATGGACACTAATAATGCTAGAAGGCACGCGAATGCGCTGGCGGCTTTTTAGAATTTGTTTCAATAGTTTTTTTTGTCAAATTACTTGGTGTAGTTAATAACTTTTTGAGTAGAGTTTTACTGTTATCGCTTTATTTGCAGATACATACAAATCCTTTAATTTTAATGATAAATAGGGTTTTTTCATGTGATATAATTGTATTATAAAATTAAGATATACATTTCAAATACCAAAAATATGATTTCAGGTGGTGCGCATGCGTGCTAACTTCCTACAGCCCTCGCTTGCGCACACACGTCTAGTAGACGAAGACAGCGTTCACTCGATGCCTGTAGCACAGATGGGCAACTACCAAGAATATCTCAAGCGAATGACACCGCAACTAAGAGAAATTGAGTCCCAACCCGTCAGACAGCATATGTTTGGGAATCCGTTTAAGATTGATAAGGTGAGAACTCATATATTCTCTATATTTGTAAAATTAAGATTAAAACGTTTGTTAGGACAGAAATGGATATTATTGAAAATTGTATTTTTGGAGTATTTTGATGTGGTGGTTCCATTTGGCAAAGATTAATTCTATACCAATTAAATATTTCCATTAATTTTCCAGCGTATGATGGTCGACGAAGCGGATATAGATCCTTTAGGCGCAGTGCGGGGTAGCGGCGGCAGTGGAGTGGGAGGGAAACGGGGTGCGGAGAGCCCCCGTGCCATCCCACCCAAGAGGAAAGCGGGGCCATTGCCGCAACACATCGTGGCGAGACGACCTACCTCACCAGCGCCGCCTTCGCCTGCGCATACACCGCGTATGTATAATATCATTAATCTGTATTTTAAAACACTTTTCAAATCAACTTAAATCTAATAATATTCAAAAATAGTATTATTTATATTATTTCAGTGCATAACGGACTGAAATTATATAAGTTTGACATATTTGACAATGCTCAAGACTTCTAACTGAATTTTGAATTATAATATGGATATTCAATTTGATTGATTTTTAGTAGTGATGCTCAAGTACGAGTCTTCTACTATACCTCTACTATAAAAAAATATTTATTATAAATTCACGTCATTAAAGTAGATCATTAATCTATTTAGGGCATAAAATTCTCTTACCGATTAACTCGGTAGTAGTAGACTATTTTACTGTAGTGAAACTATTTAATAAAGCAAATTTTCCATTTTAGCCCCACTCTCCCCAGTGCTGTCCTTCAGCACCCCGCCTCCCTCGCCAGCAGCAGCGCCGCTGTCGCCCGTCTCAAGACGACCTGCGTCGCCGCTCGCCCCCGTGCCTTCCGATTTGCCGTCTGGTAGACCGCCTGAGGTATGTATTATTATTATTAAGCCTTTATTGCTGACATCCATTTAGTATTTAATTACATAATAAAACTTAATTCTAATAAATCAAATGACCCTGTGATGTATATACATATATATAGTCATAACTACGCCAAAAATATGTTAAAATACAGTCTTATATGCGTTTGCGTGCTTAAGTTCACCAGTAAAGCTTAGGTTTCCTAGAAAAGCGGTGCCATTAACTAACGGCCGTCATTACTTTTAACATAATGCAAAAATATCATTATCGCTCGTCCAAGTCACGTTTCCACTCATTGTATTAATTAAATATGGCACCGCTCACACGCGAAAAACGTTGAGCTAATGTTTATTACGCTATGACGGCCGTCATGCAAATGACAGTACCACTGTTTGACGTTACGGCCTGACACTCAACGTTCTCTAGAAAACCACTCGATGTTATTTATAGACACGTATGGGTGACGTCACCCAACGTTACATTACGGCCGTTGGATAACAACACCGCTTTTCTAGGAAACCTAAGCTTAAGAGCAAACAGATTTCTGTGTACGTGTACATTTAGTAACTGCGCCCCTACTCTGTGACTTCCAATAGCGACAGCGATACCGTACCTAACATTTTTGTATGCAAATTCGATTTAATATCCATAGCGCCGATGTTCCAACCTTGGGATCGCGCGGTACAACGGTATTGGGATCGGAAGTTGTAGTGTAAGGCACTGTTTAGACGATTTACGCGTGTAGGTTTTGTAACCATGGCAACGATGTTTGTAAAAAAAGTTTGAGTAAAATGTTTGAGTAGCAATAATAATTTATTTGTATATTTCAGGAGCCCCCTAACGTGGAGTCTGGTGGGACGGCGAGTACTGCGTCAGCTCCCGCTGCGCCTGCCAATTTGCCGCCAGTTATCAAACCATTCCTCAACGGAGGTAATTAAAATTGACTGGTTACATCATTCAAAGGTTTTCATAACTCGTGATGCTTAGTAAAGGGAAAATCCAAAATCAGGCGCTCAAGACTTGATTTCCGAGATAGGCCAGAAAGTGGCCATAACGTTTCTATATAAACCATTACCAAAAAAGACCACAGCCTCAAATCTATTCTCTAGAAAGAGCGTACTATTCCCTCAAAGATCCACACCCCCGCTACGATGCAGATGTCCATGGGTGTTAGCACTCTTCATAGCCTTATTCAAGCCCCGCCTGCTCGTTTGCCTCCTGTCCCATAATAGAAATGTTTCAAAATCAGCCACAAAAAGAATTTCTTATGGCGACCATTACTTGTTCCAAAAGATAGATACTAACTGTCAATAGTTATAAAATTATTAAACGGTAAAATTCATCAGCGTCAATTATTTGTATGAAAAATGTTAATTTTGTTTAGAACTTCCGGCATTTTTGTGATACTGCACTTGAGACGTGACTGATGACTGAACATCTTTGAACTGATAGGATTTCAAGAATTGTAAGCGTCACCAGTATACCTCTGAAAGTGGATTTCTCTATTAGATTTTTGCTAAACAAATGTTCAGATTTTTGAGTCATACAAATTGTTTGTAAGGCAGAGTAGCCATAAATATTTGAACTGGAGCAAATCAATCCCAAGGATTAGGATCATTTAAATAATCGTCAAATTTATAAAAAGCTTAATTGATTAATTTACGTTAAACGAGAGTTTTGAATTTATTGTGATAATTCTCTAATTTCGCTTGGGAGTTTGTTGTAAAAACGAATACAATTTTCATATAAGTGGTTTATCTTCTGGATTTGTATGCTTAGATTTGTTCTGTTTCGAGTATTATACTGGTGAAAGTCACAATTTGTTTTAAAAACATTTCTATTTTTTTTACATAAAACAAGACTTTAAGAATATAGTGTCATAATATTTAATTCCTTAAACTTATTCCGTACCGACTACTTTGGGGAAACACAACAAATCCCCCGAACAGCCCACTTCATAATAATGTATTCTGATAATAATTTACGTGTAAATTCACTAAACTTAAAGAAATGTTAAAAAAATATTTCCTGCATTCTATATATTACTATAATTTATTAGTCTTTGTGATGGTTGCCTGGATGATATCGCTTTTAATTAATAGGGCCCGTTGCCTTAATTAAGCCGTGGCAGAGTTGCCATGTATTTTATTATTAATTTAAATTTCAATAAAAAAGGACATGGTATTGGTTGTGATGTTTAATTAACAGTGGTCTAACCCATACATACGGTATACTTCATAATTTTTTTGTTTAATAAAAAAAATGTAGTAAAGATACATTTCGTAATTAAATGTTTTATTGCGTCTACGCTAATTAATTAGTCGAATACGTTCGATACAATTTAATTGTGCTTTAACTATATTTTGAATTATTTCAGATGCGTACACAACAATGGGAAGTAAGATGCCTCGATCGCCCTCTCCGCCGCACGAAGTATGCGTTGCGCCTGCGCCGCCCGACACGCAGGAGTTGCAAATTAACGCCATATTACAAGGAGTGGCAGCGGAGAATAGCTCTAATTCACGAAAGAAGAGAAAACGAAAGGTATTTATTTATAGGTGCTCATTAATTTAGCTTATAAATAACAGCTTTAAAGCAACCAATTAAATTTTAATATATATTTATATTCTGGACATGAAAATGTTACAATTTAATAGGGTTAATTAACAAACTTGTATTTTAATAGTTTTATTGGGAAATGGGACAATTTTGTACATGTCTTGTGTAAATCAGTCACAAAAATGTTTCTGATGTTGCAGCAAAGAATTATGAAAGAAATATATAGAAAAATCTTATGTATTTAAGCTAGGGTCCGTATTCTAGAAGTCAAACTTAAATATTGCTTCAAGACTTGTCAAATCATCATCATCATCATCAGTTTAAACAAAAAATTGCTTAAAATTTTTCTGTCCACCTTATAAATCGTCTTTCATTTCAATAATAATATTATGTCATTTCAATATTTCACCCAGACCATTTATCCAGAATAAATGCTTATAGATAATAGAATATGTAATGTAACACATCCATTCTTAGGCCTTAGTACGAACCATTCCTAAATCAAATAGCTAATAGAAAGGTAGGATATTTGTATGGAAAACACGCCACTAACAAAAACCTTAATTGTGAACATAAAAGAAGCGTAGTAGGACATAAACAGAAGAATTGTATGAAGAATACGTATACGGTAAAGTATAAAAATGCCAAACATTAAAATTATCGTATTTTCTGTGCTTCGTGGCAATGCTATATTGCCTTTGTTGATAGATATTGTCTTTTACTATTATTATAGTTTGACAGTTACTAGATCGTAAAACTATCCAGATATAAACTGCAAGTCACATAGAAACTACACTAGCCAAATTGGATTTCGAATCTACAGAGGCATTACTACATATCTTGGTTTGACTTTGATGTTTCATAAACTAACACAGACACAGTGCACGATCATAACAACTTTCAGCTACACTCTCAAATATATTCACACCTATTCACACTCTCACTCATTAACACTAAATTTATAACTATTATTATTATTTTTATTATCATCTTTTTTTAACTAATTTAAACATGTACCACGTAATAATATTGTTTTCTAGTTACCTACAACACAGGGCCTCCCTAGTGTGGGGGACTAGCGATATATGAATTCTGTCTCAAACCCTTTTGTTATAAAGTTTTTATTATTATTATAATAACTTAATATGATTTTTTTAAATGTATTATTGTTGTGAATAAATAAAATGACCTTATATATAGATAATTATAAGAATTTTATTAAATAATAATGAGATATATTTTTATTAGGAGGTTTAAATTTTATTTCTTTCCAGGAGGATGATATAGTCCACCTATCATCAGTTCTGATGCCGCCACAGCCCTCACGGAAGGAACTCGCCGAGATTAAGAAGCACAATCTTTCTGTTCGATCGGAAGTATATCGCGCTGTGCGTCGACCGGGCAGAGGTAACTATAAAATATTAACTGTAATTAAAAAATAATCTAGTCTAGCGATTATTATATAGGTAAGGAAAGCTTATGGCACTTTAAAAAACCACTGGCATTACAACGCGTCTTCTCAGAATTCTCTATCTGTTTCGCGATCTTTTGTTTTTTCTAATAGGAAAGTAGATTGATCATCTGCGCGTGACTCACGCCGTCGACTGTTTTGGATATAGTCACAGGGATAAGAGTCAAAACGGTCAAGCAACTAGGAAACAAAAATGATCAGAATACTTCTTTGTATTTATTTAATTTTTTCTTTTCATTTGTTTTTTTATATGTTTAGAATACTTTTGAACATTGAACATGTTTTATTGTTAACCAATCAGAATCGAGCGACATTTTTACCTATGTCTATGCACGTTAATAATGCAGACAGGCTAAATTCACCGGCAATCTATTTTCCAGTTAGCCTAATATGATAGACATGTACGTGCTAATTAGGGAACGAAAAATCTGTATTTTATTCAGTATATAAATTATATTTTATCAAGCAGTAATTACAAATGACCATAGGAAGATATAAGGACAAAGATTATATTTTTTCTGTTTACTAGCATATATATTAATATAATATTGGATTAAGCAGTTTAGAAATTATTCTTGAACAAAAAATAACACCAAAATATTTGTTTCAGATTTTACAAAGTTGTTCGAATACTTAAAACAATTAAAGGGTAGTGTTGAAATAAAGAAAGAAGTGATTAGGGATGTTATTAGTGAATCGATGAGGTTCAAGCGGAAAGCGCTAGCGAAGCTTCTAGAAGACTTCTTGATCGGCCTTGAGAGAAATGGAAGCAGCACATCACTCAACCTAAAGAGATTACCGAACAACCACAGCTAGTATAGTGCTCAAATGTATTAAAATTGTATTTGACGAAAGCGTTAAAATAAAATGTAATAATGAAGCATGTTTGGTCATTTGAAGGGTCGCCTATATAGGGCTGTGATGGTTATGATCGTTACTTTTGTATCGGGTATATATACATTTACAGTCGGGTAAATGGGTAATGCGAGAAGGTTTTCTATAGAAAGAACCCAAGTGATGTGATGAACCCATTTTTGGTATAATGGGTAATCCGATACAAACAGTACTAGGCTCTGAGTACAGAGTGTCGTTTGTAAGGGTTGAGTACAACGTGGACTTAGGTATTTGTTACCATGGTTACCACCATTATTTTTACATGGAAATATTACTATGGTAACAAACACGGTACTATTAGGCTGCATTTAGTGCTATACGGATGTAGTAGCTCCGCAGTAAGGATCATCTGTACTGTCGACCAATTAGTACTCCACGGACAGTCATTGGTTGTTTTCAGCTTTAACATACACACACGTCCGGACTGGTTATACGTCCGCGCAGCACACGTAGATATTTACGGGCGTACGGATCACGGGCGCGTTCGACGGAGCGTCCTTGAGAGGTCTGACGTACGCACCGCGGGCCGTTCACTACTAAACGCAATAATTGCTATACGATAGCTTCAGATATGGCACTAAATGCAACCTTAATCCAAGTTTTATAAAATAATTCGACTATTTAAAATTGTATACAAATGACTTGTGCTCGGGGGCAAATGGTTAATGAGTTAATATTGTGATCGAATGCTCCGCCTTTCTGATCTCGCCCGATCAAATCTTATTTTACATGAAATTAAGCGCATTTATTTATTATACAGTATGTTGTGTCGAGTTTTGTGCTGTTTTCACTTTCAGGAATTATTTGTATCAAAGGCGCAGGAGCTGTCCACGGACTTGTTAATTATTGCATAAACTTCAAACGTTCATTGTTGCTAGTTTAAAATTTATAAAAGTTACCAAACGTTGCAGAGTTTAACTTTGCAGTGTTAATAGTTAAATTTCGTTTTTAGTTAACTATCGGTAAGGCGTTAAATTTGAGGCTGGTGACATAGCAATGGACTTTCCTGCTAGATTGAACTGTGCGATTAATGTGTTAAACGAAAATGGATTGAGAATTGTAAATATTTTGTATATATTAAACTCGAATTGTAGAATGTGACGGGTCGGTCATGCGGCCTTTAGAATGACAAGACCTCACTGAATCTGAAATTTTCGTTATATTTTATATGTTGAAGTATTGAGCTAAATATGTATCATTCCCAGTATTTAAATATCAGATTCCAAACAGGTCCTGTTACGCTAGTGGTCATTGTGTCAATTGTAAATTGTATATAACATTTTATAAATAAATAATGATCCTTATTGGATCTTTTAAAATGTCTTATTATTTTACGTCCACATTAGCAATTAATGAATAGGTATTGCAATTTTGAAATTGCCATGTATCGACTGCGAACGTCTAGAAATGGCCTCGTCTCTCTTGGCCCTGTGTCCCGGTCGCCCATAAAAGCCATCTAAAGAATCGTACTCGTATGGTAGTGTAACAGGATACGAGATACTTTCGTGTAATATAATGATACATAGTTTAGAACACAATTAACACAAGTAGTCATAATATTATGTCGGAATATACTTGTTCAACCATATATAAAAAATCTTGCACTCAATTAACATTTTTAAATCACTTCTTAAATAATTTAAGGAATTTATTTCTCAATTCATATTATTTACAAAAAAATCATCGTCTGGTTTTCGTTAATTGTAGCCTGTACGTAATATTTCATGAGATAGGTAGCAATAAATAGTTAGAAATTGGAAGAACAATTGAACAATGCTGACGTAAAATAAAACAATAACATTTTACTTATTATAATGGGAAACAATACAGATTACCTAAGAAAGGTTGTTTGGTTTTTTTCACTATACGACGCGACGGTTTTCCTAGTTTTTATAAACAAATATTTTTTTATCTTTGCATCCAAATATAGTTTGTCTTGCTTACTTTAGTATGCACAAAATAGCATATTACACATTTTATTCAATTCATGTAGATAATATTCGAAAATTACCTAAGGCTATATGAGCTTTTTCTTGATGTTGGAATGACATTTATTAAGGCATATCTCTACGCTTTTTTCCTATTAATAAGATACTAAATGTAAGTGCTTTACGCGACATTTTAGTACGATGCACGGGTCCGACGCGTACTTGACCGCTATTTATCTGAAACCCACATCCGACCCTCAGAATGAATGCGTCATTGGCGACATGAGCTACGAGTATTTAAACATAATATTTTTTCTAAAGCTACTATTACCCTACTTATATTTAGGTCATGCATACAATATTCTTGTTCATACTTTAGACTTGTGGATTACTTGATAAAATGTCCCTAATTGCCTATTTAACGTACGCGTCATTAGCAAAGTGATGTGTTCTGAATAGAATATTACCTGATATTGGCCGCTCTATTAACCCATTGACCGAAGTCGTATAAAAGTTTAGCTCAACAAACTTATCATTTAATGTTATACAAAAACTTGACCAAAAATATACTGAAACTGTCTATAGATCGATACAACCCACTGGGTCCAGCACCTTTAAGTAGTTTAAATTAAATTCCATTATAAATAATTGATTAGATTCTAAAGGCCACACCAGCGTGATCATCAACTGGTCTGTAGAAAAACTTATTACACCTGATATTGGTATGTCATTAAGTATCGCTTGGCTATGCAAATTTTTTACTATACACCTTAAAATAAAATGTTTTGTAACATTGCCTACGCACAAGAAAACGACCGGCCTATAAATTATCTAGAAAATGAAGATGGCGGTCGATTGTCATCTTCCACCGAGTAGAGAAATTTCACGTCCGACTTATTTTCTTAATAATATTTTCATATAAAAACTTTTTACTTCCAGTTGCCTTCATTCGTTTATAAAAAACTAGGTTTTTTACGTGCTTTATTAAAATAAAAGATAGATAATTAGGTTTATAAAAATCAATAGAAGGTGATTTGACTTACACAATAAATTTGCAGGCATAAATACTACAATAATTGTACGTAATCATTTTATTTCGCTGCTCAGAAATCTTAATATTTGTTAAGCTCTGACAAAACCTTGTTCTACGTAAGATTTACAGGAATTTAATTAATAGCATGCTCTATAGTTTATTAAATTACGGCTCTTGTATTTTCGTGTCGAATACAATTTTCGAAATGTGCAAGACATTCTGGTATTTAAATTTAGGAATTGTATAATATGTATTCCACACGACACATTTCAATTAGGAAGGAGTGTTACCGAATTAGTTCGAAGCTGTCTGAAATAACAGACGAGAATTATAAATTTAGGCCGCATAAAGGGACTCGCGATAAGGAAATCAATATTTTTTCTTTAACTTGGCATCAATGAAGAGCTTAAGTATTTCGTTTTTACAGTTATGTTTAAGACGCTTATTTATTGAATATCAGAAATTGAAAAACGATCCATAACCCATAACTGTACAATTCGCGTTAGCGATTAACCCTTTGAGACTTGATACTTTATGATGTTTTTCTTGACATGAGATGTATCTCAAATGTTGGTCTAATATATAATTATAGTCTTTCGAATGACACGCTGGGACGCGGCCCGCTTTGGGAAAATAATGTTGGCAGACCACGGCGAAGGTGGGCGGGCAGTCTCGTGGATTAGGCCGACAGAATATAGCTGCACCAAAAAGAGAACATAGGGAACAGAAGGAAATAGATGAGGCGCTTACCTGAGATGGGATTTACTCTAATAAAAATTATTGACAAATAATAATCCATTGTAAATTTATAAAAGGCTTATTATTATTATAAATTCAAGAAGCATTAACCGTTTCATTAAGAATATTATGAAGATTTTTTATATTCCGATTGTATATCTGGGAAGCTTATTTATATCTTTCTTTATGTTAATGAATGATTCTGAGTGTGCCTAAACATAAATACATTAGTCACGTTCAATCCAATACTGTTACGATCATTTACTTGTTTGTTACTAGGGTAAAAACATTTTCACCTGTGAGTAACAAAATCAATCAATAATTTTTACTCTATCCTGCTACATGCTCGTTTTTATTTACTGCATTAATTTAAGCAATTTTAAAAGCTTACAAATTACACCCAGCTCAATATTCGATTACCAAAACATACCTCTCAATGATACACTCGGCTTATTTGATAACCAATGTGCGAAATGCTAGTTAAAATTTTAACTCGGATCTCGCAATTTAAATTAATTTGATCCCATTACCTACAACTCACTCATTTTACTTATATGAAATGTTGACTCCAAATGAAAATCTTTTCAGGAACGTTATTAAACCAGAAATTAAAGTTTCATTATGTGCGCTAATGGTTTTTTTATCAAATTATATTTTTTACATTGCAATAAAGTAACGTTTAGGCAACGAAGCCCGGAAATATAAAAATAAGTGAACAGTTTTGTAGAAGTTTTATTCAAAATTCCCGGTCTTGTCATACACAAAACATTCAAACGAATAGTTTTGGAACAATATCATGTTTTTGACGGAAGGAAGAGAATATGAATATTATTATTTCTAGTAACTATTGGTTGTAACTAAACACCGTATTATATTGCATAATAATATATGTGGAATAATCTCAATAATTAGTTTAATATGAATAGATAATCCTAATAATAAAGCCTTTAATCAGATAGAAAATAATAACATAATTTTAAACTTAAACTTAACACTAGTGAGTCGGTGACACCGACAACCCATCTGTTTGCCCAACTTTGGCAAAGGCCTCCTCCATTTCTCTCCACTCTGCTCTGTTCTGAGCTTTCCTGGTCCAAATTTTCCCAGTTACGGATTTTATTTCGTCTTCCCATCTTCGAAACTGTCTACCTCGTTTTCTTTTATTATTTCTTGGGTACCAATATATGATCTTTTTGTTCCACTTTTCTATACCTCTTATTACG